AGTGTTGGACACCCTGAACACAGGGGAAAGCTTGGAAGGACCAGGGCAATCCCCCTGCAATGCAGCTGAGCCAAAGGGAGTTATGGGGGGTGGACTGGGAGCCATGAAGGAAGTCATTTCCTACTGCCTGTTGTGAGCAGGGAAACCCTCCAGATGCTGAGGATGCCCAGGCTCTGCACGGCCTCCAAGCAAGGAGAGACATTTACAGGCACAAAATCCTCGTGGGCTACTAAGCAGAAAGCACCAAGAAGTGAAGTGCCAGAGCTGCCAACAGCTTGTCCTGCCCCAGTGTGTGCTCCCGTGGGGCCCAGGCTGGTCCAAGGGGTCAGAGCAGAGATCCTGGATACCAGGAAAGACTTTCCTGGGAGTCTAAGAAATGCCAGGGGTTAGCAGGATCCACTTTGATCTGCTCCTCTGCACCTCCAGGCTGCACAATGGGCAGAAGCAACATGCCCAGAGACTTCAGGAAAAAATAGGGACTGGGCTTCCCCTCCCAGGGCAGCTTTGCCTGGGGGAATTCACCGTGGGAGCCTGGGGCCAGACTCTGAACGAGATCAGCACAAACCCTGTCTGGAAGCAGATGTGAAACCAGTCCAGCTCCACTTGAGGAACTGGGACACATCCCCAGCAGAGGCAGGGAGTGGGAAGAGCTGAACAGCAGCATTTCCTTAGTGGTCTCACTGGGGAGCAGGAGAGCCAGGCTGAGCTGGGGCTCTCAGCTGTGTCAGCACCCTGGGAAACTCTGAGCATCCTCCCTTGGCTCTGCTTGTACCACGTGCCAAATGGGTGCTCACACCTCCCAGGGCTTGTTGGAAACCACTGAGAGCTGTACAAATGCCCAGGGGTGTTGCCATCTTGGGCATCTAAAGCCAACACATTCCCAGAGAAGATGGGCATCAGGCAGGCAGCACCAGTGCCAGCATCCCTGACCCAGCAAGTGCCTCCAGGAATGAACCCAACGGGATGGACATGGGGCAGCCCTGTACCCATCACTCCCCTGGGCCCCATCCTAACACTGCAGCTCCACTCTGCATCTCACACAGCTGGTCTCTGTACCCCCATTTTCCAAAAAGAAACCAGTACCAGGCTGGGCACATCCCACAGGCCCTCTTGGGAGGAGCTGCTGGCACTGGTGTCCCACGTGGTGGGGACCAGGTCAGGCAAGAGGAGACGCTGCCCTTCGAGGGAGCCGAGCGGCCGCAGGGGACAGATCATATTGCAAATGATTAATCTGGAGAGCTGGATTTAGCCCCGCTTCCCGGCAGCTCCCAGTCCCTCCTGGCTCGGTGCAAGCTGCTGCCCACACACCCGCCTTGGAGAGCTGTAAATAAGGAGCTGCGGGGCAGAGGAGGTGCCCGGGGGCAGCAGGAGGGGATGAAGGTGGCTGGAAGGTGCTGAGGTTGCACGGGTGGTGATGAGGAGATGAGATGTTGGCCCTGGTTAAATGGAGAGGAGGAGCAGGGCTGTGTTGTTGGACTCGATGATCTTAAAGGTCTTTTCCAAGCTAGGCAAGTCTGTGATTCTGTGTTCCTGCTTGCTCACATCGAAGCACGAGCTGCCTGCTTGGCCCCAGTGCTGCCATGGTGGGGGTGAGGGAAACTGAGGCAGGAGTGCATCACACCATGCTCCCTGCACTCTTGAGGGAGTGAGCCCCAGGGAGATGCAGAAGCATCAGTGGGGAGGGAAACAG